CCATTAAACCATATCCCCAAGTAGATCATCATTTTTGGAAGGCTCCCCCCTTCTTGTGAAACAAGAAAAGTGAAATTAATCTGACTCGGCTTGGTCTATCAGTCACTGGAGAGGAACAGGCGCTTCCAGGCCACAATTCATTCCATTAAAAAAAAAAAAACAGATATCTAAAATAGGTCAGAGGACTGATGAGGTGCCGCCATCGACTGCAGAGGGAATCCATGGTCAACTAGCTCCTGGGGTCAGCGATGTGCACATCCTACATTTGGTCACGAACACCATGTAAGCCCTGCGAGAAATAGGTCAGGTGGATTTGTAGTGCTATGAAACAAGACACACAATCGACCAGCCCCATGGAGAAAATAAAATAAAATTGTCCAGCCTACGTGATTTCCAGAAGCCCTGAAACTCTGCCACACCTTTCTGCCCGAAACACAGCATTCGTCAGACCGACATATAAAAACCACAGCACAAGAGAAGGAGTTAGTAGAAAGACAGCTTGCCCAGAGCCCATACTTACATTCCCACCTCCAGGGACATGCTTAATATTGTCCTTGGAACCACACTTGGACTGAACATGGCTGTAGTTCGCTTTTTTGGAGACTATCTGGACCTGGAACGTTACAGAATGGAAAACAACACAAGGGAAGAGGACTGGTTAGAGTCGTCGTACGGCAGGCTGGAGTGGATGCTCTAACACGGTGGATAAACACGGAGTTGTGTTAAACTCAATCCGACTTTAGTGTGAGGTGTGAAAGCCACTGGAGAGGAGAGTGAGGAAACAAGTGACGAAACGAGAGGCTGCACAGACGTGTTAGTGCGAGAGCGTAACTGCTACCGCGAAGACCGCTCGCTCCTCCATGTGCTCTACGGGTTGGCATCACCGGGCGGGCGCCCGCCTGCCAGAAGGGCCAGCTTCACCTCTGTCCCCCATGAAGCTTCCTGGGACCTCTCTGGTGAGAGCTGCCCCAGAGCAGGGACAACCAGCTCAGGTGCCTCCTTCCTCCACGGATCAAAGCCACGGGGCCACCACTTGCACCAACGCTACGACCTGCTTGGTCTTTGCACGTGATTTCCACCTGCCTGGATTGACTCCAGTCTTGGGGAACGTCTTGCGAAACCTCTGGGCAGTAAAGCCCGGTCTGAGAAACAATTCTTCTGATGCAGGTTGTCAAACCTTCAGTTAAATTTTATCAGACGAGTCTTACGTTAATTAAATTGTTTCTCCTTGAAACTAAAGGGACTTGGGACTTTTTCGGAATACAAAAGGAGGACACTGAGTGAGCTTTTACTCCCAAAGGTGGTAACTGGGTTAGAGTAAGAGCCCCGTGTTTACACAAGGTTAGTTACGACACGTGTTTAGTCTGGGAGTTATTCAACGGGGCACAAAAGGTGGCAGAAGCTGTAGCTGGAGTGCTTTCCAGAAAGAGGTGATAAATTCCAAGCACAAAAGGAATCACCAGAACGTTCTCACTTCAGCAGGTTTCCAAAAGCTCCTTAGCCAGTTCGGCAGGGCTGGATTCAGTGCCACAGCAGCTCTGAAAACGCACTCGTGCCACGGAAGTTTATGATGGTTTACTGACTTCTCCAGAGGTACGAATCCCACCCATCCATTAACGGCTCTGCCTGATTAATTGCTGAATTAAACCCACCCGGGGGGCACTCCCGCTCACCCCCGTCCCCTCGTGCTGACACCACATCACGGCAGCGCCGGAGGAACCCACCGAATGGTGACTGCCTCCTGCACGGAGCCAGAGAGTTTTCGTTCAGCTGGGTGGGGAATATTGCAGGACAGATATTCAGCCCATAATATTCTGCAATCTTAAAGCAAGCAGCGCTGGACTGAAGCTCCCTCTTCCCAGTTACAAACTGGTGCTGTGTACGAAGAACTGATCTTAAGGGAAACCAAAACTCAGAGTTAAGCCTGTCTACCTAAAAGTGAAAGTGGGGGACTCTGAAAGCATGGACATTGACAGCAGGCATGGAAAAAGGTACCTACAGCAGTGATCTCCGACCACGTTTAGCTGAGAACATCTCAGGGCTTACAAGAAAGAACTGGAAAAGTGTCTGTGCAAGGAACAGTGACACTGACAGGAGAAAGCAGAAGAGTGGAAGAGAAGGGAGAGTGACTCAAACCGGCGAAGTTTTCCTTCATCTCCCACAGAGAAAAGTCTGAAATAAACTCACTTTCCCATTGGGCTGCTTTGGGGCACCCTCTTTTGATACGGTTGTTTTAGGAGTAGTCATTTTAGAGACCGCATTGGGTTCAGACTTTCGTGCAGCAGCGGCTGATTCTGGCTTTTTCTCTATTTTCCCCTAGATGGAGACAAACGGATGATTTCAACCAGCAAAAGCAAAAGCGTGGGCAGGAGAACACGGGAACACAAGCTACTCGGATCAACTCAGTGGAGCGGATGACCCAGGAGAACTTCTCACATGCTGTAATTCTCAGGCAGACTATAATCCCACGCCCAGGAGTGATAAAACTCAGGGGGTGGAGGGGAAGCAACATCACTCCGACACGGGATGAACCAGGGGGTCATAAAGCAATAATTAAATTCTCAATTTCTCAAAAAGCTCGTAGGTGCCCTTCATCGGGGCATCTCACCGTTTCCCAACACCAGTACGTTATACTCCAGCAAAAAATTCAACCCAACTTTTTCGTAACCCAACAGCAGCGCAGGACCCTCACGTGGAGGACGTTACACAGATCTTAGAGGCAAACCCACCCACTGGCTGATTCCCTTTGCCTTCCAGCTCCCAGAGCTCCGCTGGATGCACACACACTGTGCTCCATTCCTGATTTCACACCCACGCGCTGATTCGACTCAGGCTTTGAGATCAACAGCTGATTAATTTTTAACTAATCACACGCAGGTGGACTGAGCTAATCCGGTTAAGCTGAAAACTGAACAAAAATTTACAGGCTTTTAGAAAAAAAATCAGCAACTACCTGAGAAGATCCATTCTTCTGCTAATCTAGATCCAGATAAGTGCAGAACTTGCTTTTTTTTGGGGGGTGGGGGTCAGCATAAATCCTGCATTTCACTAACCTACCAGCAACAGAACGGTGAAGAAAACAACCCCAGTGCTCCTAAGGCATCCTCTTACTCTAAAAACATCCCAGCATAAGTAAGACTGTGAAAAGGACAATTTTCTTCAAAAGTACGATGGTTAGGATTTAACACTTCTACGAAAATATTTCGAAAAGAAAGGGCAGTACAATTAAATGTAAAACTAAATTCCCTTAAACCAAGACAATAACCCCGTGAGCTAAAAGCTCTGCGGCCCTCAGAACACTGCACGGTCTCAAACAACAGGACAATGTCCGGTGTTCGGTCTGACCAGATGGCAGAATGTTTTCTGAACTTCTGTTGGGTTTCAAGCTCCAACATACAGTGTAGGAGAGGGTCACCTTCCTGCTTGTTTCAAGGCTGGTCAGCAGACTTGGGTTGTCACTTCCAGAAACTGTTTTGGGGAGTGGAAGTTTCCTCCAGAGAAAAACCCCTATGATATCGTACAACTGCGTCGCTCTTCGTTCTGCAGGACCACACCCGGGCTGCATCAACGCTGCCTGTGACACCCACCACCACGGCCCAGGAACACCCTTGGCTTCACGGTGCCTGAGCGGAGCACGCGGCTCCCAGCGCAGCGTGGGCTCTCTCGGCATCACACCGAAGTTGTACGCCGAGTTATTCACAACTGCAGGCCTGCAGCAAAGGTGAGCGGGCAAATTTGTTCCACTTTGGGGCAATTAAAGCCCTCTGACTACAGGCAAGCTGCTGGCACGTTTGGCCAGGCAGAGGTGGTGCATCTGTTACACAACAGCCAATAAAGGTTTTATGGTTATGCATACCCAGGAGATTCTTTAAACCCTCGGAAGAGGGGTACGGGTATATCATAGAATCATGGAATGGTTTGGGTTGGAAGGGACCTCAAAGATCACCCAGTTCCAACCCCACTGCCATGGGCAGGGACACCCTCCACTACACCAGGTTGCTCAAAGCCTCATCCAACCTGGCCTTGAACACTGCCAGGGATGGGGCATCATATCCCTAAACCTTTATCATCTACATGGCAGATATTCACAGTGAAAGTGTAATTTAGGAGCATTGCTGATTGAGAGCCTCAAGTTATATCTACGAGCTT